CAGTATTCGATTATTTTTAATAAAACGGCAGCCGGTGCGGTGCTTTCAAAATAAACGCAGACGTGATTTATTACCCATTGCGCGCTTATTAAATGAGCTTTTACGTGGCTGACGACCGACAACGTCAAATTAGGTATACCTAAACGCACACACAAAAATATTACTAAACACGACCCCATTCGGGTTTTCATTAACAGCCAATCCTCAATAGGTGTTGAAAATGTTTTATTAAAGGAAATGTGCGGTGTGCTGAGTTGAAGTTTCCTAGTAAAGGAATAATAATTAACACGTCACGTAAGATATCGAAGATATATATGACTGGTGATAGTGAAACTTCTTAACTTTAGGAAGTTTCATCTGTGGGATCGGTAATTGAAGGTGCAAAATGTTATAATTGATGTGTGTTAAAGACACGATGTTTATTATCACGAACAATGTTTATTAAGAGTCTTGAAGAAGTATATAGTTAAGAAGTATTAGCCAGAAGAATAGTTAAGAACTGTAGTGTGTGTAGAGGTGTCGCTTGCGAAGTAGTAGAATAACTGACCTTCTAAACCCTTGTCACTCACCAGCAACCCTTCAGGTTTGATGGGTGGTGATAGAGAAATTTGAAGTAGGAAGAAGCGATAATTTGATTGTGAAAGTCTGGCGGTGACATTGAAGAGGAAGGTTGACCATCAGTTTTTGGGAGTCGAGCCGGACCATCTGCTACTGACACTAGATTACAGCGTGCCAAACCGTCCGGAAGAAACTCGGGGGTTAGGTTTTCAAAGGGAGTGGTAAAGTAATTAGAATTTTGGGAATTTTATACGAAGAATTATGGCATGCAATATAGATGAAGAAAGTTATAGAGTGCATACAATATAGATGAAAAGAAAATTAAGATATAGATAGATAGAATAGAATTAGAATAAGCGTTGGGTAATGATCCCCACCATCAATTTCACGTTCTCGTCTGCGTTAACTACGTAAATTGCCGCGAGCAGGTGTGACAATTACGACCATATATCGCAAGTACAAGTTCAGTCAATCAACTTAATCGTATCAATTACTCTTTGTAATTCATTAATCGCTCCTCGACTATTTTGGTTTTAACTTCTTAGTAATAAAAAAACTTACATTTCAGGAGTTTCGTGCAAAAAGAAAGAAATTGCGACTTACCTGAAACAAATAAAAATAATTATTAATTTAAAGTATATTATACATCATAAAGATAATATTTGTCATTCTAAATTATTTGGAAAAGTAAATAAAGTTAAAGGCGATTATTTTTAAAAAATTGTGATTTTTTTCTATATTACCCTAATTTGTTTTGCTCTCAACAAGCAAATGTTTCCCCTCTCATGATTTTTATTCAAGAGCCCCGGAGTAGCTCATCCCGATGAGATTACTTCGTCGAGACAGGCAAACATTAATGAAATTGCAACCCGAAGCAAATGCGAAAACGCAAACAAAAACGAACTGTTTTATTGGCTAGTAAAGCCAAAACAAATAAAACCCTGTTCGAGGCATATATTTATGTCGAAATAATCAAGATATTACCTAGCAAAACTTTTTCTGAAGAAAACCAGACAAATTATATTAATACTCGGAAAAATACAACAGAAATGAAATAAAGAAAAGACGCGCAAGAATAAAATTCAATTTTGTTCTCTGCCAACGTTTGTCACATCCGCGTATAACGAAAAAAGTTTTACTTGTCTCACTTTCCACTTATCTCATTTTGTACAATAAAATACTTCCGGATTTTTCTCATTGGGGATTTGTACAAAAAACGTCGCAAAATAGGAGAGAAAAAGTAAAGCGGAAAACGAATGCAATCGGTCGAAGTTGGAGTTTAAGCACTCACCTAATTCGGAGATGATGGTTTTCAGAGGTCGATCCCCATCGGCGTTCACGGCGTCCACGTCGACGCAGGCATCGTAGAAATATTTCAATTTCCATTCGATGGTGCCGCGGGACAACGGCAGCGGCAGGGTCGATATCATCTCACGAATTCGCACAGCTTCTGCAAGCGTACAAAAAGAAAACTTCAAATATTTGGAGGTACTTGCTGTAGATTTATTAGGCAAACATAATATAAAATAAAAGGGGTGTTTTATGATAAAATTGAATATTTAAAGCTTTTTTATGTTCAAACATTTCCTTTTTCGCATTTTCACGCCTTGATAACGAAATGTTTCTGGTGTCGGGAAACATAAATTATTGCCCGGGAAATTTCTATCGTTTCGCCCTCGAATGCACTCGTAAAATGCTGTCGCAGAATGGAAATATGACCCACTTTTCGTCTCCACCTGTTTTTTTTATTTAATATCGCTTGAAAATCGTGTTTTAAAGCTCTTATCAATAGAAAAATAAATTTCGCTAGGCGGAAATAATTTAAATCACGTTCGCTGGACATGCTCATAATTGTTTGGGCAAATACAAATGATTAGATGGTTATCTCATTGTCTATTACTTGAATGACTCCGGCAGAGATGCGAAGATTCGATTAAATGCTGTTTGCTCACGCGGCGCAATATGTAAATATAAACGAAAAGGTGAGCGCCAAGATTTCCTCGATTTCCTCGTAATCGCTTTCATGCGCGCGTGTCAAACGAAATTATGTAAATTTCCCTACACCCGGTTGACGCTAAACGTGAATCCTTACAGAGATAAAATTATTCACGCATAAATAACCACAACACATAAAAAATTGTTTTGAATGAATATAGGTAGGTAATTTATTTATTTTTGCGCTTCATATGGCGCCTATCGAGTCAAGAAGTTAAAAATACGAATAAATTTTGTATAAAAAATTAAAAATAAAACATTGTGTAAACGTAAACGTAAACAAGAATGATAAATTACCTTGTTGTTCGACTTCAACTCGTCGATTCCACTTGCTGCGCTCGGGTGGTAGTTCGCGCCCTTGTAACCAACCCCCGCACGCCCACTCGCGTACATTACAACGCTCAGATGATTCGTCTAAATATTGTCTGACCTGAAACAATAAAAACATAATTGAAAACAGTTTATAGGCTTTATTATAAAAATAAAATAAATTGGATCGTGGGCTTCTTGAGAGATCAAGAAGAAAAAAAACGAAACCCTTGATGCCTTCATAAAACACTTTCTCTCATTTTCCGCCGAAAACCGAAATCGATTCGACTTTCGAACCTTATGAAATAAGCACAAAGCGAAGCCGCCGAAGATGTTGAACTGGAAGAATGTAAAGAAAGCGAAATGCGAAGGTTGCAGAAAGCAGACGAAACAAGATGATCGTTATGCGGATCAAGTCAAGTGCAAGTTTTTATTCTTATTTATTAATAAAAAACCGGACCATAATGAAAGTAAAGATTCGTTGATATTTTCTATTTAAAGGCCAAAATGAATTCAGTGATTTATGAGCTGTTGACGTAATAATTTTGTGCAATTTGTCCGCGATCGAATTAGACTTTATCAAGTGCAGTGAAAGTGTGATTTACGTCGAAAACAATTAATCTGGCGACGCGTTTACATCCACGAGGCATGTCTGCGCTGTCAGAAACATGCTCTCATAACGATGGCATTAATTAGTCGTGACATCGAGCGTGACTCAGCTTCAGTTGTACGTTTTCGTAAAACTTTGGATACTGATGTTTGGGATGCCACAAGTGCCATCAAAATTGAATTAACGAAATTATAAATAAACAATAGTAGAAAAATAGAAAAATGATTTTTTGAAACCCTATAAATCCGCAGTGCAGTGTTCTGAAGGTTTCTCTTCTACCGCGTGTAAACTGCACATATGATTTTTTACAATTGCGAATATCTCGTAAACTAAAAAAGATAAATAGGATCTGATCGCAGCGTCTTAATCTACGGACTATTCTCTATAAGATAAGATAGTTAAAACGAAAATCTAAGAGATGAAATTTTAATTCTTAAGAAAAAATTGCCAAGGGGCTAAAAGAGACTAAGAGACTAAAAAGAGATAGCAACCAACGAATTGCTGATTATGTAAGATTGGAAAATTCTCTATCAGATAAAAATATAAAATAATAATATTTCCAATAGTAAAAGTCTAAAAATGTGGCTAAAAGTGCTAAAAGTGACATTTTCAATCGCGAATATCTTGTAAATTAAAAGTAGCTCCTCTTTCTCTTGGAAAAGTTGCCCTCCACTTACGCCATACTAGCAAGTTCCATTTACTTTTGAATATTATTCAATATAAAATTCATTTTTGTGCTAGTTTAATAGCTATACACCTAATTATAAAATTTAATCGTTTATAACTAATAAGTACTTATTTATCTTAGTATCAAAATTACAGGTTACTGTAGGATTTAATTCTTAATCAACTCTCTCACAAATAATTGGTTTTTGGGTAAATATAAATTTATATAATTAATTATTAATCTCATTCTATGCTAGGTAATATATAATAATAAGTAATAATTAAATAATTTATTTCAATGGGAGACTCTGTAACCACTCCTCCCTCTATGCATTTTTTTTATAAAATCTAAAACAAGTTGCACATCATTTAAACGATGTGCATAAATTAGCGTAAGATATTACGTCTTCGTTTTTAATGGCATGCATAACTTAATGACTTCCTACTATTGTTCGTAACCTTGACGAACTCGTAAAGTCAATGAACAATAAAAATTAAAAGCCCATGCATGCAGAGAGAGCGCCTCCAAGAATTTACATCAGCGAGTGGAATCGTGAATTTTTGCGAATAAAAAATCGATAAATCTAAAACGGGAATTGTGTTCCTGCTAAAACGCGCACGAAACCGAAAAAAAGCGAATCAGCAACGAGAAGAATAAACAGCGCAAAGATGAGAAAGTTTACGCGCTAAACGAAGTGAAACTTTTGTTCCGCGCGTATTTAAATTTAAATTGAATTTAGCGTGCTTTAATTGACGCTTCTAATTGATGTTAATTGAATCGGCTATTATTAGTGTCATGAACACTCTGTATCCAAACATACAGTGAAAAGATGTCAAAACATTATTTCGTCATTGTGCGCATAATTAATAACTGTCATTAATTAAATTTATTGATCAGATAAACATTCGGAATTTTGATTTTTCGGAATTTTGTATTAATCATGGAGGTATGTCGCTGCGAAGAATATAAAGAGCCGGTGAGGAAGATAAAGATATTCACGTTGTGCACGTTATTGCCGCAGATCGAACGCGTCAAAGGTAATTATAAACGCCGGCTAGTTTTTTTTTTCTTCCTAATGTATAAGTATATAAATATATTATGCAGTCACAGAGTTGGACATATAAAAATAAATTTCTCTGCAAGCATTTCCTTCCTTTTGTGGCGTTTCGTGCCTAATATGTTGCGCATTCGTACATTTATTCAGCAAAATTCTTCGCTAATGCCGTGTGAGGCCAAATATGCTATAAATTAAGAATGTCTTCGCAACGCAAAAATAAAACTCGTTTTTGTTAGCGCAGAAAAAAAATATCTATATAAAGACAGGGTAAGGTTAGTCAAGTGTCAAGTCTTGGCTACAAAAAAATTACTTTTACGATAACAAGCGGAATATTTACATTATTAATCAATTAATCGGAAACTATTAAAGTTATTCTAATGAATTCTTCAGAAATTTGTTAAATAGTTAATTCCAAATAAAATAAAATGAAGATTGTACTTAATACGCTGTGATTTTATAATTTAAAGATCAATTTAAATCTACTTTAAAAATACAAACGGATTGCAACTTTAATTGTTTATAATTCCTGTTGAAATTGTGCAATCAACAAAATCTTTGCGTAAATCTTTGGCGTAAAATGTATCTTAGAATAAAGTTATAAATTATCATCTTTATAGCAAGAATAACATTTGAGTTAATTACAAATAACTAAGCCTAATGCACTATTGTCACAAAGTCCTTCAATATAGTAACAATAGTAGATGAAGTTAATAGTTCATTAATCAAAAACTAATCAACATAAATTAATAATTTCTTCAAAAACCTATTGAATAATAAATTCTAAAACAAACTATACAAAGAATTTATTGATATGTAGTTTTAGTCAAAAGTTACAGCGGATTTTGTTTTAATTTTCCTAATTTTCTCAAAATTCAACTTGAGTAATCTATTAAATAATCTAATCAACAAAACTTTTATTCGGATAAATTTGAAATTGATTTCTATATCTATTTCGGAGAAAATCATAACTTCAACATAAATAATTATAGAGTAATTAATTGATAACTACTATTGCATTTAAAGTAAACGTCACTCATAATCCAACATAAATTTCAAATTAATTTTCATCCTAAATCTTCAAGGTAAAAGATGTAAATTTAATTTGCGAATAATTAATTCTTGCTCAAAACCACTTGAATGTTGAATATCCATGTAAAATGTAAATAAGCGAGAAAACGTTAACTAGAATCCATGCTGTCGCACTGTCGGACAGGCGTTTACTGTTTCCACCATCAAAGCGACGCTTTTTATGCCTGCTACCACTACCTTTGGAAACGAAATTTAATTACACCGCTACGAATGAAATTTGCTCAGCGCTCGAAAAAGGACATAGAGTACAAATGACAAAAAATAAATTGGAATGGATTGCGATGTTACATCACATTTTCCAACACGGATTCCGCAAATGCAAATTTAATCCGAATCAATATCAATCAAGGAATCAAGAAACTTTAAACTCTTAACGATCTGAAAACAATAGTGAAGGTTTTGTTAAAGTTGTGCTCAAGTTTGTTAAGCTTTCCCAACTTTGACAAGTTTCGCATTGTTGAGAACTTTACGCTGAGTATTTCACGTCTCGTTTTCTTTGTCTGCTGCATTTATTTAATTTAAATACATAACAAGAAACACGTCCGTAAATCGTGAGGCTTCTTGCAGTTATCAAAACCTTGCATCAATTAGACACAGCAACATTAAAGCGGAAATATATTACTTTAGAGCCGCCGCAGTCATTTGACATTAATCAAAAGAAAGTTTTACTTGTTAAAAGTTACAGCGGCATAACTCCGACATAATGTATTGTTTTCATGTGTTTGCTTGTTTGCAGTGCCTGAAAATGTTATAATCGACATTCGAAACGTGCCAATCTCAAATGTGCGCGACCCACGCCGAAATAAACCTTACATTTTCCCGGCAACAATAGAATCTAATCGCGTTGTGCCAAATAATTGGATTCCTGTTATCCACGGAACAATATCTACTAAGTATTTATCAATATTAATATTTTGAACATATTTTAAAATTAAAAATAATTAATTTCAGATTAACCTACGCGAATAAAGCCTTGTACTGCCGAATTTACTAAATTTTACTTGAAAATAAATAAATACACATTGACTGTATGCAACCTTATAAGCAGCTGTACACAAAGGTAACGCAGTGTATAACATGTTGCCTATAGTAAAATGACTTAAGCTTACCTGTGTAGCTGCGCGCAGACATGACTCAGTGTTGCAGACTTGAAACCGGTGCGGCGTGGCGGGCCAACATGCCGATAATACAATGACGACAATCAGCAGCAGGAAAGCAAACAGTGCTAAACCGCCGACGTAATATAGGCCATGCTTAGTAAGGCCGCTTTTATCACGCAGCTTTTGTTCAGTTTTCGTCCAAAACAAGCGGCCTTTACTCTTTTCTTCCAGACATGGCTCGCTTTCCTCATCGGCGGTTTTGAACGCACCGTCAACTCCGTTTTGTTCCTTCTGCGGGAAATTTTCCTCGGGCATTGTTAAAATTCAAAAATTTTTATGCGTTATCAAAAAGTCACTTAAAATATTTTTTAAAGCAATATTTGTAGTGTTATCAGTCGAAGTCGGAAGCACTCTGCTGAACAATCACATCTTATCGACTTTTATTTCGTCCCACTGTGTTTGTTAAAATTGTGCTAATGTTAAGTCACGGTTGACAATCGCACTTGTCAAGATTAGCCTGTTTGTTGTCGATTCCCAAAGCGTTGAGCGCCCGCATTCAACGACGTTTGATCCGTAAGCGCGCACAATTGACTGAAAATTCCGTTTTGTTCGGTTATATCTGTAACAAACGAAATACGAATGAAAAAAAAAACATTAAAAATCACTTTGGAGTGTTTGAGGAAGCGAAGAAACACGCAAACATGCAGGATGAATAATGAAGCAGGAATAGACGTGTGCAAGTAGGAATGAAAAAATAAATAGATGGGTGTCGAACGGCTGGACGCAATGTGTTAACACACACGTCAGGGAATTCTTTTCCCGATTCGATGGAGCGTTTGTTCCGTTCCACATCGTTCAATCCAATTAGTTTAAATTGTGCAATATTTAACTGAATTCTCACCTTGAATAAGAGTTTAAACCGTGAAAATCGAAACTGTCTTTAAATGTTTATTTTGAGTAAAAACTCACATGTTATGCACACAAAAGTTTTATAACGACGAATAAAATCACTAAAATACTAGTGTAAAGGTTATCACTAACGAATTTGGCCTATTGTAATGAATTATCACATGATAAAGATTATGAAATTATCAAAATAATCGAAAATTCACTCGAAATTCAACGTTAATCAATTAATAAAAAACGATATGAAAAGATTTTATTTATCGACCTAAGCAAAGCCTCGAATTGTATACAATGTGCGCTCATTGAAGTACTTACAGCTTATTGTGTTTGCTCCATCAAGCGCAGCACGACCACGTTCAATGCTTAATTTATTAAATTGTTTACGTTCCTCTATCTTCTGCGCGCCCTGATCCTCACGAACATAAATTACAATTTATACCAATAATACAGTTTCAATGGCAGCAGACGTAGGATTTAAAATATTATTTCGAAGCAAATACTTGGATAATAAAATAATTCATGTTGGGAAATTGTGGAAATTTCATTAAAGTGCAATTTGTCGAAAGTAGAGTGAAAAGGGTGAAATTATGCTACTCCCACTTCGGGGTGAAGATGAGCGCGAAGTAGCATTCACCACGTCACTAAATTACGCTTTGGAACTTGCAGCGTGGGATGTTCGGGTGTAGATGAATGGGGCTGAAATGAAGCCGGGTGGCGAGGCGGTGAGTGATTTGCGACTGCGAGCGCACAAACATCAAGTAAACAGATTCCAAACAAATTGGAAATTGAGTGCTTGCAAAATGTTCAAACTCGGATTAAACTAGTTTCGAGAATGTGCTTTCAATGTCTAGGCAGTAAATTATTATTTTGACACATCACTAATTCCAATACTCTGGAAATACATTTATAATCAAATTAATTACCTACTAAAATATTAACCGATACTTATCATTAAATTAAAACCAGAAAATGTGAAATTTTGAAAAGAAAATTTCTGTTAACATATTAATAACTCCTATACTCTGGGAATAAACCCACGACTCTCAATTTACCCACTGAAATCTTAACTGATTGTTATCATGAAATTAAAATAAGAAAATGGAAAATTTAACAAAACGTTTTAACGTTTTTACTTGGATTTGCTTTGATTACTAAGAAAAGAAAATTTCTACGAAATGCACAGCTTAGTTTTCTCACTTGGCTGGCAGTTAGTTAGCGTTTATTTGTCTTCCTAATGTGTTACCAACTTGAAGACGTAAGAGGAATGTTCACGCTCCTCATACCTTACGGTAGCACTCGATTGTCACATCCAGCCAACAGTCATGCTGTCACGCACGATGAAACACACGAGACTCGCCTTTAAAAAATACTACCCATGTTCCAAAATACATATACATGTACCTACATCCAAACATAAATTCATCCAACTCATCATCATACACACAGGGCCGTCGAGAGCCAGCGTGGGCCCCGGCAATCGTTTTTGCTTATTTTTTTGTGTTTGTGATTTAAGAGCGATTAGCCGGGCCCCAGGGAATTTACCCCAGTTCCCCCACCCCCCTCTCATCGGCCTTGCAGGTAGGTAGTACGTGATAAATAAAAAACTTGTTTACAGTATAAAGTAAAACAAAAATATTTCATACAATTGAATTATGTTATAATTAACAATCGACGCAAAATTAACAATCTGTGCTGTTTAGTTAAAAGATACTTACACGAGCATGATGGATCTGTCTTAATGATGAGAATCAACATGGGGGATATATATGCGATTAATTTAGCAACCGACACCAAACACAACGCGGAGTGGAAAATGTTATCAAATCCACTATCACGTGACTTGTAATATACATAACAAACGCGATCAAAAACCGGCATTTCCGAACATTCAACAAATTACTATAGTCGCAAAGTAGGTACAAATAAATAATCGATTGATCTTCGAGTATTACACAAACTTAGAATATTGAAGTCCGAATAAGCGATATACCTAAGTCTCTCAAAACACGATTGGATTAACCAGCGACCGGCACGAAACTGACTGCAATTCACCGATAGTGCATGCAGAAACTGCGTAAACAACGACGGGACAGTGTATGATAAGAAAGCAAGAGGTGCGCAAAGACGACCTTGTGCGCGAATTTGCAATAGGCACATTACCTAAACTAGACTTCGCTGCATGCAGCAAGTTGATGCGGCGTTAGGATACAGCGCGTGGGACACCTGCGTTAAAAACGTTGTTTACACCGAATCGCAGATTACAGCATTGTATACAAAACTATTCTCGTGCCCACATTTGTTGATAAATATAAAAATAAGCCGTATAACTTGTTTTTATGATTTTTAGTGCATCCTAGTGCCATCTATGAATGCGGCAGATACTAGTCGCACAATTTAGACTATTGAATGAAATCAATAATTAATGTTTCCGACGATTTTTGCAAGCTGATATCATCTAAACTAAAAGAGATAGCAACCAAAAATTTGTAGATTATGGAAGATTGGAAAATTCTCTATCAGATAAAAATTTAAAATAATTAAATAGGGTAAAAGGTCTAAAAACACGACTGAAAGTGCGAAAAAGGCAATTTTTCAATTTATGACGATTTATTTCAATTGTGAATATCTCGTAAACTAAAAGAAATAAATAGGATCGAATCGCAGCGTCTTAATCTACGGACTATTCTCTATACGATAGGATAGTTAAAACGGAAATTTGAGAGATAAAATTTTAATTCATAAGAAAACCCCCCTCTCACTGGCTTGATGCTAAACATCTAAACATGCTGGTTGTCCCATTTTCCGTCCCGAGTTAATATCAGTACAAACAACACACTACGAAGATTAATTATGTGTACTAAATGTGTTGGGCGTGCAGTAATTGCGTATTCGTATCCGTATGCAATGCTTCATCGTCTCTGCCGGCGTGATTTAACGCACTGAGCATAGACAACTGTCATACCGACACGTTGCGCACACAACTCACACGGCATCACACGAGTAAGATGGATACGCGCGCGCGACAAGCGACGGGGAAATATCTCGTGCGCTCTGGTTGTATAATCACAATCCATTACATCTAGCCCACGGTCAAGGTTATCATTATTTTATGCTAATTTAATTATATCTCTTGATTTGACGCCTACGAGGCGTCAAAAATTCAAACTTGAACTAAACTTGATGTAAACTAAGCAAAAATGATCGAAAGGATTATTAATTGTTTATTACTCCGGGATTTGATTACATAGCAAATGTTCAGGGATCGTAAACAATAAAATATTGTATTACAACATTAAAGATGATATTAAATTACGTTTGTTTATGTGAAGAACTGGATGTGATCCAAATTCACAAAAGAATAAATCTCATTTTAACTTTTTAAGAATATTTTACGTAAAAATTAAATTAAAAATGGCTAATATTTACTTTATAAACAATTTTGTTTTTTATCTAATCTAAAATTAAATTTAGCTCGGCATACCCTATAATTCGACCTCTTTGTGATCCTCCGCGTTTTATTACTCTTTACTTATTCTCATTGCACACAAAATTTGAATATATCTTCGATTTCTCTACCCTCTAAATGTCTAACTTAACCAATATCGGTTTTCTTTTCTTTCCATTTCACTTCCGACGTGAGATGAAAACCAATCAAAAATTTGGTGACTCAAGTATCAATTATACTTTCAAATTAAAGCAACCCACCAACATAATGTCAAAAATCAAGAATCTAAATAATTGGATATTAAATTTCAGACCCTACTGCTCTGGTACTTACGAATAGCGTAATAAAATGTGAAGACGGTCATAAAGTTCCACATACACATGGTAGACATGATCCTCATGATCTCTTTACATTGAACGACCGGCATACTGAGCACTAAAGTAATGTATTATCGGATATTATCACATTTTACACAATCTGGTATACGAATCATTCGAATCATCGATTTAACATGCAACGCACGCGTCACAAGAATTTTATTAGACTCTGACTGAGTTGTGGTGTGTTTACATTTGCATAGAAAACCCATAGTAAAACCCATGGTAAACGGTATACCATTGAATAAAAATTAAGTATTCATTAAAGTCTACTAAGTATGCAGTAAATAAATGTGAGGAACAAATTTAAAGCACCAAATTTTTATATTTTTTTACTTTTAATGCTGAGTTCACACTCTTTTTTTTTTTAATATAACCCATTCGTGTTACTTTTCATTGATGCCGCAATTATCTCCACTTCACTATAATTTTTTGTTTTAATTTTTAGTTTCATTCAGGTCGTTCATTCACTTTTGTTGTGCTCACCTTGAACTCATTATAAAAAAATTAATAAAACTGAATTCTTTTATAAAATACACGAAAATCTTCAAGTTCAGTCAACTGGTCGAAGGTATATGAACCTTAAATACTCCCAATTATCAGTTAA